CATTAAAAGCAAAGTTTACAGCACTCCACCTGATACCTTGGAAGATCTGCGAGGACGAATCATTAATGTATGTCGCGAAGTAACACCGCAAGTGCTCCAGAATGTTCGACAACGGTTTGAAGACAACCTGTATCATTGTATGCAAGTTGGCGGACAACATTTTCAGCATTTACTTGACTAATACCGTAAGTTTTGAAGTAAAATTAAATCGATTTTCGCATTTCTCGTCAAAAATATTGTTCGTATTTTCAAAGCTGCATATTTTCTAAAATAATGGATCGATTTTCAAAAAGTAAGAATCGATGTATAGAGAATTAAAAGCCCTTTCTAATGATCCCCCACTTGACCCCCATTCCCATTTAAAAAAAATTTGGGGGATGGCACCCCCACTTAGGGGGTTGAAGATTTTGCTATGCTTTTTGCGCCAAAAGTTGTCCCCCTCAGAAACAAATTTGACCTGTTTTTGGATTTTGCCGAAAAGTTCATTACTACCCTGTAATGCCTTGCGGTACGTTTTCGATGGGCTACCCTGTATATATTGTCGTATATACAGTCTGTACTATATTTGTTGAGATAGAATTGCAAGAAAATCCCTGCGTTACATTCTTACTATTCGAAGTAGAAATACCTTAGCGACACCACGCCGCCAATGTCTTTCTACCTCGGATGTCGAATTCGGTTAATTCTAAGAAAGTGACGCAGGGGTCTTCTTGGAACTCTATCTCAGTAAACATCATACGGACTGTAAATACTTCTCGATAATCGCTCCGAAGAAAGTCCGGTTCCTTGCGAATATACTAGAAATAACTCAAAATACTTATTTTAAATTTTTTAATGGACCACTTAAGCAGAAAATTTTTACTAAGGCCCACAGAGCTTGTCAAGTGTACCGTGCAAGATATCCCGAACGACGCCGACGGGGGCACGTCGAACATTTGTTGCTGTAGCGCAAAGAGTTTTGGACACCGGTGAAGTACAACCGCGTCGCGGTCGCGACGGTGGCCCAGGGCGACTACTAATAATAATCTTAAATGTCGAGGAGATGATTTTAGATCTCGTCGAAGAAGATCCGCATCATAGCACCATAAATATCGCACAGCAAGTAAATATTTCGCATTCTGTTGTGTGGAGGACATCACGAGAAGCTCAGTTGTACCCATTTCATATTCAACATGTTCATGCGCTTACTCGTGAGGATTTTCCACTACGTCGGGTTTATTGCGAATGGTTGCTTCAAGAATATGTAAGAAATCCTCAATTTACAGCGCAAATACTTGTTACATGAAGCATGTTTCAGTCAAAATGGTGTACGTAACGTCCACAACACTCACAATTGCACTATCGAAATAGTCCAGGGCATTTAAATCAAAATCGACCGGAATAGCGGAAATTTTTAGGTGCAGCGGATATCGAGATGCGGTTTTCTGCATTGTGTTCAGGAAGGTCCCAGGAAAAAAGTCTATATCGTCTGGTTAAGCCATTTTTTTAAAAATGCCTTCTGGGCCGGAAAATGCATTTTCCAATTGCACCATTACTTGCACCATTATAGGAACGACTGGAAACTCGGAAAAATCGCTCGGAAATCGTTACTCGGGGGTTTTCGGGGATGCCGAACTCGATTCTGGCATTAGAATTATCCGGGGGTGCACGGGGGTGGCTCTGTGGGGGTACGCGGGGGGTGAATTGGGGGAGAAATGGCAGCGTGCATGAAAATCGCTCCAAACTCGTTACTCGGGGGTTTTCGGGGATGCCGAATTCAATTCTGGCATTGGAATTATCCGGGGGTATGAATAATAAAAATTTTGATTGAATATTAAATAAATAAATATTACACATATTAGCCCTTCAATGCATGATTTTTTAAATTTGACTCAAAAAATTGTATACAGTGTATTTTTGGGCACATATTTTGGTAAAAAATCAGAATACAAAATATATATATTTAAAACAAAAAACAACATTGTACCATATGTGGGACATCGTGTATATAGGTACTATATGTAATACCAAAATACTGTACGTGTTCAGTCTAGCTTTTATGGAAATTTAGGAAACAATTTCTGTCTTTATTGAGACACAACGAAACACCACATTTTTGACATGTAATAAGTGACTGAAATTTGCATCCAGGAAATTTGCATCTATTTCTGATATCGTATAGTGGAAAATGATCAAAATTATCTTGACGAACGTCCGATGGAGGTATATGTGCCGCTGGTCCCTTATGACGTTTCTTCTCATATTCTACTTGTATGTCACTTCTTGGCCTTCCCCTTTTTGACATATTTGAGCCTAGCTTACATAGTGTATAAGCTAGTTCTGATCGAAATTCCACTAAAGTCAATAGGTTTTTCTCTCCAACATTTTTCTCTTTGTTTACTTTTTTATAAAGTAACCAAGAATTTATGATAACAATGTCAACTAAATGATAAAAAATGCGAAGGTACCATTTTCTGGTACGCATTTTAATTCTGTTTCTTCCAATGAAACTATCTAAAAGGTCTACCCCACCCATATGTTTATTGTACTGATGTACTATATTGGGGCATTCAATTGTAACTTTTGTTTTTTGTTTTCTATCAATCCGTTCAATAGTACTGATTGGTTGTGTGCCAACAAATGAAGATAAAAGTAAAACAGTTTTGTTATCTTTCCAAAGTACTGAACAAATATCAATATCCATGTAACTAGCAACAAACTCTTCACTGTAGCCCCTTGGTTTATTTTTGATTGAATTTTCTAACGCTAATTTGCAATTAGGGATTCGATTTCTTCGAACGGTACCTAGAGACCATATGCCTCGTTTAGCTAAATATGCTATGATTTGCATGCTGGTATAATAATTATCAAAAAATATTTTATGATTGACGTGAGTTTGCACTTCGCGGCATAGTCTTACAATAACATTGCTGCTCGCTCCCAAATCTGCTTCACCTGGCAAACGATGAGCCAAATTATTTTCTAAACCTGTATAAACTTCTATTTTATATGCAAAACCAGATATGCCACATAAAACAAATAATTTGAAACCCCATTTGTGAGGTTTTAGTGGAAGGTACTGTTTGAGATGATGCCTAGCTTTTGTAGCGCAGATTTGTTCATCTATAGACAAACACTCCTCCATGGGAATACTCAAAAATTTTTCACCAATGGCATCCAAAATAGGCCGAATTTTATATAGTTTATCATACTCTGTAGAAGTGCTGTCTGCTACTTGCTTTTCATTGTCATTAAAATGGAGGTATTGTCTGATTTTCTCAAATTTATTAAGAGGCATTGTTTCTATGACAGTAGGATTGCCAGTGATATTATTCCACAACATTCTTATATTGGGCACTGGAATTATGGATGAAAAAATGCATATGCCTAGAAATCTTTCGATATCCTTGCTACTCACACAGAAGTTGCTGTTACAATTTTTTATGTGGACATAAGTATTGGTTTCTTCAACGATGTTAGATATAAGAGTGTCAGTAAAGAAATACTTAAAAAACTGATATGGGGTATCTAGCTTACAGGCGGTAGGTAATTGAGGATTTCCTAAAAATGTGTCATGTACTACAGGTAAATGTTTTTTCTTCCACGTAACCTTTTTTGCTTCTGTTTTATAATCAAACATTTGATTTCCTTCATCATGGGTGGTTACATTATTTGAGGTAGGTGTAGTCGCAACTAATACTGATGACACTCCCTCTTGAGAAGCAACAGGTAGATCAATTTGAATACAATTTTCTTCACCCAAAAGTGTTTCTAGTGTTTCATAACTAACAGGAGCAGGTCCTTCGTCTTCGTCATGATCCACACTAAAGGTTTGTAGTTCGACCTCATTTTCACTATCCGAACTATCATTTTCTAATTCGCTTCCCGAAGGAATGTTGTTTAAAATATCCCAAGCATCTTCATCTGTAATTATCTCCCTTCGACTTTTACCCTTTTCAATATAGGTGAGGGACATTCTGTAAGAATAAAAAAATACACATAAATTGAACTCTTTTAGTACATGATGTCCCATATATGATACAAACCTATTTAGGTAAATATTATAACCTTGTAATGGATAAAAAGTGAATATAATATATTAAAGTTTACCAAAACATACCTGATATTATATGGTATTTTCCTCTTCTTTATTTTTATTATAATTAACAGGCTGAAACTACAACAAGTATGCACTTCACAATGCACCATGACATACACTTCTCGACTGACAATAGAAATATTTCCATTGGCCGCCTGATTTATTTGAACCAATCAGAGCTCTAGATTTATAAAGCGGAGCGTACCGAATATGATACAAATTAAATTAAGCTCGCATTTTTAAATCTATTATTTTATATTCCTGTATTTTTGGTTTGAGTCAAATATGCTACAGTATGCACTGAAGGGTTAGAAAAACAATTGCTTTGGAAGTCTTTTGTGCCTTGAAACTGGATTTGAAAAAGGCGCCAAAGCTATAAAGAGAGTAGAGTATCGTTACCACGGGGACCGGCACGAACAGAAATATTCTGTATCGACTGAAGAGAAAAAATATGGGTCCAGTTCCCGCGCGCAGTTGGCGTCTGTGTGGCATCAGTATTACATCTGTCGTTTAGGACCACGTTGCTTTTTCATTGTATGTAAATACACTGCTACAGTAATCAAGTTTCTTGGATTTTGGACCTTTTTTTGGTGTTTGAGTTCTGTCCGGCACTCTTATACCACGTTGGTTTTTTGTTATACCTAAATATAGTGCTAAAATAATCAAGTTTTTTGGATTTTGGACCTTTTTTGGTGTTTGAGTGGCGTCTGGCACTCTTGGACCACGTGGGTTTTTCGTTATACGTGAATACAGTGCTAAAGTGATCAAGTTTTTTGGATTTTGGACCATTTTTTTGGTGTTTGAGTTGTGTCCGGCACTCTTGTAAGTCATCTTTGATAGATCACGTGTTCGAGGATTTGTTTTTCAACGGAATCGAATATTGGCTTGAGCTTACAATGGATGTTCTTGGAAGAAGCTTCCAACGGGACCGAGAATAGTGACGAGGAAGAAGATGAAGAAGGGGAAGAAGATGAAGAAATGGAAGAAGAAGAGTTTGAACAAGTAGTTTAGTATTTAAGTTAAAAATTTAAGTTTATAATGAATAATTCAACATTAATAAAAACTCCTATTTGTTATTTGAATAAAGTATTATTTTCATAATTTGTGATTTTTCACTTTCTCCTTTACCATTTCCCACAGAGCCACCCCCGAGCGCCCCCGGGGAAGTCTAATGCCAGAATTGAATTCGGCATCCCCGAAAACCCCCGAGTGTCGATTTTGGAGTGATTTTCATGGACGCTGCCATTTCCGGGTAAATCTATTGCCAGAATCGAGTTCGGCAGCCCCGAAAACCCCCGGGTAACGATTTCCGAGCGATTTATCCGAGTTTCCAGTCGTTCCTATAATGGTGTAAATAATGGTGCAATTGGAAAATGCATTTTCCGGCCCAAAAGGCATTTTTCAAAAAATGGCTTAACCAGACGTTATAGACTATTTTCCTGAGACCTTCCTGAACATAATGCAGAAAACCGCATCTCGATAACTGCTGCACCTAAAAATTTCCGCTATTTTTCCTAACTTCCCTAATAATACCTTTTGAATTGTCTAGATGCTTAGACGGTGCTTCATATCTAGATTTTTTGCAAAATCGCCTGCTGGAGTTATTGCAAGACGTGTCGTTAAATATTCAGCAAACATGTGGTTACTGCATGACGGAGCCTCCGCTTACTTCTTTCGGAGAGTGCGCGACTTTCTAAACATTACTTTTCCCGATCGCTGGATAGGCCGCGGCAGCCTAATTATATGACCACCACCCCTCCCCCCCTCCCCCGGTCCCCTGACCTCACCCCTTTAGACTTCTTTTTTATGAGGATATATGAAAAGTGTTGTGTATTGCGAATTGGATACGTCGCGCTGAAGCTGTGTGCAAGCAAATGGTTGGTACATCGAACATCTATGAAAATTAGCAGTTCTCAACAGGTGGCACCTTGTAATGTTGAGGTAAGTCAGATTTTAAAATTACATTTCACTGAACACAAATCCATGTATTACCTCATTTTGACATAACGGACATGTGACTAAAATATTTGATATAGGTTCATTAACACCCTGTATTCCTATTAATCATACCTTATTTTTTACTGTGGATCACGAAAATGAATGCACTCTATAAAGTTTTCTATGACACTTTTTTGGAGTTTTTGCAATGTACCATATCACTAAAACCACCTAAACTGACCCAGTCTGTAAGTACACTCGAATAGTGGCACTGGAGCACGGAAACGTATTTACATACTTTGGCGCTCCAGGATGGCTATGTAAATATCGATCATCGACCATCAGGTTGTGGATGTTAGTGGAATGTTCCACACCAGCACGACCGGTGTTTGTCGAGTGATTAATAAGATTACATCAATTAATAGCAGTAAACAGCGACTAACAAGTTGCGAATAGTTTAGGCGCATTTAGAAGGAGTCAACTGGGTTCTCGTCAAGGTACGCCGGAAACGGGAAATGGAGCTACTCCGTCTTATGTATTGGAAGTGCTTTGCTGAATATAGTGCGTTCGTTTCAATGCTGCCCACACCCAATATTTCACAAAAAAAACAAACAATAATTACCTATAAAATTCGTCACAACATTTAAATAATTTCAGTATGTTCTTCATCTTCATCAACTGAATATAAAATTATATTTTCTCAGGAATGAAGTCAAAATGTGAGTTTAGGTGAGTTTATAATACCGTTTGTTAAAAAATCAGATATTTTAGGTCGCCATGCAGGGTGTCCGAAATTCATGCAACAAAATTTGGTCATAAGACAAATTCTTGATTCTTAAGACAAATTTAGGGGATCCGTATTTTTTCTTTTTGCCAACTGGCCCCCTCTTTCGGAGTTACAGCCCCCTGAAATCTGCCCCTAAGAAGTCTTTCTTATACTCAAAACCATGTTGTTACAAATTACTCGTAATGTTAATAACTTACCCTCGAATATTTTATTTATAAGAAAAATGTAAAATATAAATTGAGAACTGTATCGCTATGATGATTGGGCTAACTTTGAAGAGATACACAAAAAATATATATTATTAGAAATGTATATTTTTTAATTTTCAGGTATGTAAAAAGAACTAATTTTGGATTTTTTGAGAAATATCGAGGTACAAGGAAAATTTCACTAATGATATCTTAAGCGTCTCAACATACTACAAAAATGATATACTTAGACAAAATTTAGAAAAAAAATCAGTTTTGATCCATATTTGGGCCAGTTTTCACTCAAATGGCATCGTGTTCAGCGCCTCAAAATACCACGAATATGATATATTTGGACAAAAAGTAAAAAAATAGTTTTGAGCCATATTTCGGCTAGTTTTCAAATAGTGAATTTTTTGAGGAAATAAAAAGAGATATCACCTACTCACTTCCTTGTCCCCTAGAAAACATTTTTTATAATGTTAATAATTATTTGGTAACTATTGGACGTATCGGACTGGTATTTTAGAGACAATTAAAGAAAGGGTTAAACTTTTATTTCCAAAAAATTTTACATTGATAGTTCATGTAGAAAACATGCTTGCAGTAGTAAAAGTTAACGTTAATAAACGGCCTGCACGCGGGAGGACCGTCTCTTCCATAAATTTCATCAACATGTATCGCTTTTTGGAATAATAATGAGCAATTTTCGAAAACTAATTTTTCCGCGTTCAACCTTTATTTTACAGTTAACAAGTTGGTGAAATATGAAAAAACACGTAAATTTGCCACTTATTTGCAATTTGCCAACTTAGTGTCACTTCTTTCGAGCTACTTTTTTGATAACATTCTTCATACCCTTCCCCGTCATAAAGTGCAATAAAATGATTACTAATAATTTTTTCATGTTCAAACTCTAATTCGACTGGAGTGCGTAACTATATAGGAAAAAATCATTTTTTACCCAAATCTGGGTCAGTTTTCACTAAAAAATTTCACTTTTCTCCAAATTTCCTCAGGAAGTCATGAATTTTAACTACAGGGTCGTATTCAGCGTGTCGAATTCCTTCGGAAATAATATGTGGGTCTCTTGGATTTGGACTTTTTTTGCATGTACGTATGTAATTGAACTGACTTTTTCATGAATATCCTACATGATGAAATTAACGAATCTACCACGAAAATCAAAATAAATAGTAAAAACATGAAAAGAAAGACAGTAAAATCAATAAATGTAGGAATGGTTTAAAAAAATTCTTCCCTAAAATGACGGTCTCAAACAAAGTAATTTTTTCCAGAGCAGCTCGAAGTCTCAAAAATATTGTCGAACGTTTTAACACAGACAATATAGCTTATCGACACAGACTACGCAAATGCTGGAAATTGGCAACCCGAAAAGGATGCAGGCTTTTGTCACCCGGTATCCAGCTATAAAATTTGGCGTGGCAACTCTTCTACTTGGTAATAGGCGGCAGTTCTAGCGGTGGCTTTGTTGCTAAATAATAACTGCCAAATAAATTTAATGCCTACAATTATGTAATTAAAGAGATATGGAACTTATCTTTTGTTTGGAAATCACATTTGTGATAAATGTTAAATAAAATAAATCAAGTTAGAATTAAAACTATGAATTTACCTAATTAATTAAGTATTTATTTTATATCACCTTGGAATGGGAGAATTCAAAAACTTGAAATTAATGTTTTTAGATTTGTGCGTCGACTTCCAATTTGGTACGATATTAACACCTATGTTTATAAATATTGCATTATACAGATTGTGACACAAGAGTGCTCATATTTGTGTCAAAAAAATTAACACAATGTAAAATTGCTGGAACCTCAAGGAGTAGTTGAATACGAAATTTATTTTAAAAAATACAACAAATCAATCAATGATCCCTTACAGAGATAAGATAATGCGTTCGCTACTGCTGTTGCCATCTTTGACTAACTTTTTTGTTTTTCGACATACGGATTTCGGACCATTTCCATTCAACGCAGAACGGACAATCAGAACCAGGAGTGTGGGGAGATATTCTTCATTATTTTTTCGATTCAACGCACCGTTTCCGAGTTATAAGACCTTTTTTACTGTATAACCTCACACACCTCTTGTTTCCGAAATTTATTTTCCATATAAGGACTTCGGACCTTTTGCATTCATCGCAGAAGGGACAATCAAACCTGGGGGTATGGGGAAGATTTCTTTAATTATTTTTTCGATTCAACGCACCGTTTCCGAGTTATACGGCCTTTTGACTATATGACGTCACACACCTCTTGTTTCCAAAATTTATTTTCGACATACGGACTTCGGACCTTCTGCATTCCACACGTAACGGATAATCAGCACCAAGGGTGTAGGAAATATTCAATTATTTTTTAGATTCAACGCACCGTTATAAACACTTTTTTATCCTATGATGTCACACACCGTTGGTCCTAATTTTTTTTTAGACATACGGGCTTCGGACGTTTTTTACTAGATCACCAATCAGAACCATGGAATGGTTGAATACAAGTAAATACTGTTTTTTTTTCTTTCACATATTGCCTCACCCACCGAGTGCTCTAATCAGAACCAAGGAGAGATTTGTTTATATTTCCAGCCATTTCCGTGTTACGAGAAAAACCGGTTTTTTTCTCATATCTTGTGACGTCATAGCTCGATGACGGAGGCTAAAAAGGCCACGCGTTATACCCCACAAGACAAAATTAAACTGTATTATTCAAATAACAATAATATGCAAAAGTTCTTCAGGAATATCGGCAAATTAATTTTTTGGAGGACGAACTCTGTTAAAATATTATTAGAAACCTTAGGTGCCCCGATCTCAGTCCTTTAGACATATTTTTATGGGGATACTTCAACAAAATATATTACTAAAGACCTCAAAATTTACAAGTATTGAAAGAAAAAATACAGGACGAAATGTTTGATAATTCTGAATTTGTTTTTAAAGCAATAAATAGTAAATTAAAGCATATTTTGAACTGTATCATTACAATTACTTGCACGTTGAAAATTTGTAAGAATTGTAGGCTATTTTAATGTTATTTGGTTTTTGGGTATTCTCCTTATGTTGTTGTGGAGG